AAAAAAAGGGATGAGAGTGCTTTCGGAGGGACTTCACGGAAAATTTTGTTCACCACCAATGGATCAAGTGCATTGAAAAGCACGGGTGACTACGTTGTCGAAAAAGTGAACCATAATACATTATGACATAAAAAAGTTGTGTAGACTTTTTGTTGTAAATAAAATTATAAAAATTGATTGCGAGATACTTATTGACTTACCCTCGTACCAAGCATGAATACTGCTTTTCGGCATCATTACTGCATTCGTTGCTTTTTTAAAATTAATTTATTAATATTATTTAACAAAGTGAGGAAATTTATAATATCACTTGAACACTAAGGATAAATTTACTGGAGATTTTGTACTATCCCCAAAAATCCCCCTCCCTAATTCAAGATCCGAATCCGCCTCTCGTTTCGCCGCATACCTGTTGTTTCCACCTCTCCCGACTGTGTATATATTGACGCTAAAAGATCTACCAAGCCTCTGGGCCAGTGATTAAATCATGAGCGTCGATGAAAATGGGTTAAATATGAAGTATTTTAGATTATTCCGTTATAAGCGGCCTAGGATGCCACGTTGATCTGACTCAGGAAATTTTCCAAGTGCAGCATTTTTAAAGTTTGGAGGTGTCTATGAAAGGATTGCAAGAATCTACTCCTATTCTTCCTCCTCCTCCCTCGTCCTCCCCTCCTTTTTCTTCTCTTCTTCTTCTCTTCTCTTCTTTTCTTCTTTCTTTCTTCTTCTTCGTGCTTCGTCTTCTCTTCTTCTCTTTTCCCCCCAAAGAGATCTGATTTGGTAAATGTTTGAATACGTATTAGAGATCGCTGACAATGAGGGTCGATTAGGTTTACCCCTGAAATAGTCCGGGTGGATCCTTTCATTTGGAGACCCGTTTGTATCTAATCAAGTATAAATACATTTTATTTTTTAAAACCCACAAAACTCTGGGAAATTTTGGTAAGTTTTCAAATAGGCCATTATTTTATTCGCAAACATTGAAGAAAACATCATTAAAAATCATCACTAATCAAAGCAGGAAGTGCTTGTTTAGCTTTCTTCGGAACTCGGGGAACAAGCTGCATACCCGCAAGCAAGTACATATTGTTCTCAATTTCCTTACATATTGTTTCATTTGGATTTAAATGTTTGGGGGACAAAATCAGAATAGGCCCTTTCTTCCCGCCTGCAAGCGGCCCCAGAAATTTCCATGACTAGCAAAAGTCACGAATGTGCGTCTAGTGACTAGATATATATCACGAACTGGGGCAACCCAAGGACATCGACCTTCAAGAAAGCCTTCTTCGGCGTCCTTTATTCGATTTATTCCAAGCAAATTCAATTAATCGTATCAACATCTTAGAGCACTACGCCATTTTTGAACGCCTACACTTACTATGAGGCGTAACCAAGGGGGGAGGGGTCATACTCTCCCCCTTCCCCCGATAAATTTTCTGAACTTCTCATGCCATTAATATTATATATTATATATTACTATATATATATATATATATATTATATAATATATGTATATATAGATTGGTGTTTCTAACTTCTCATATATCATATATATATAATATATATATATAAATATACTATTTATAATATATTATATGGAGAAGTTGAAAATTTAGAAGTTTAGAAAAACACCATCTCCCGCTTAAATTTTGATATTTCTCTACACCGATAAATATGGATTTAGAGAAATTATGCAAAATTAGCGGAGATGGTTTTTGATTCTTGTTCATTATAGCCCACAACACATGGGCGAAACCGGGCCTATTAACTTATTTGGTAACATTAAATGTACTTTCAAGCCAGATCAAGTAGAGAAATAAACATATGTTCGAATAACGGTAATGCATTGTAGGGCGATAAAGCTTACCATGTCACAAAACGGGTAAGCAAACCCTACGCCTACAGCAGGTTCAAACTCACGTTCCTTTGGGACCGAGAACGTCTACTGCACGCCTTATCTTTGCTGTCCGGATCTTCTGTAGATAATTTTTTCAAAATTTGAAGGTGCAATAGTAGTCCAAGAACTCTAGAGAAGTCGTCGGCCCCATTTCGGAAATGCTATAGCGAGCACACCAGCTGAGCTAAAAGTGACGTTACATCGGTTAGGTTGGTATCATGTAAAAGGAAGTTTACGTCTGACAGAGATGTCATTGAAAACTACATTTTTCTCCACTAGCGCTTAGAAACCTGACCTACCAACTTATAAAGTTTTTAAAGGCTACACGTCGGGCCGATACAGAAACTTCCAAACAGTGTTGTTAGGCAACAAATAATGTAGTAATATTACAGGAAGCGGATTTCTATGATGATGTCTATATTTTTGTCTGTTGCTTAAGACATAGGCTTATAGTGAAATTACTTGCTATTTGGTTAGAATTGGATGCTATACAGTATATTTAATAATTTGTGCATTTTAGAAGATTTTCCTGTCTTGGTGCATATTCGTGTACTTTATTGGCGCATATTTTTGCATATTTATTAAAATTAGAGATTTACTCTAAAAGCTTTTTTGAAATTCTATTTTATTGAGAGAGTTTATTGATTATATGAAGAGCTAATAATAAAAATAAAATCATATTTGGAGTTGCAAATATATATTGATGGTTAGGATTTGCGTTTTTTTTTTTTTTCTTTTTTAATAACGTAAATTATTTGTGGAATTGTATGATATTTCGTAAATTGAATAACTTTTTAAATCAGGCAGTAGAAATGCAACAAGACAATTGGTAAAAATCACTAAGTAAATATTACTATCAATTTATTCACTTCTCCCGAAAAAGTGCAGGTGATTTATATTTGTTAGCACTGAAAAAATATTGTTTCTTTCATTCCAAGCATGCTTCTCCTGAAATTTATCAAAGAAAGGTTTATTACAGGAAAAATGAAATAGTTTAATTTTAATTGCCAATATGGAAGTGCATATTTTAGAATTTTAGGTCATAAATACATACTTATTCAAATATTATTTCGAACACGTTATAGGCAATAATATTTGTTATGATGGCGACAGTTTTCTTGACAGCGGATACTTCCTGCACTCCTTATCATTAGTTTGAATTACGGCACAAATAATAGCGACAAGCTTTGTTGACAAAAATATCGAATGACAGAAATGGTTGCTCCCGTGTAATAGAAATTGTTTTGGCATCGAAAAACGATCCACTGATTGATAAAATAGAGCCAGTCGTAGATAATTACCAATCACCTACTTATCCGCATTAGTAAAAATGAGCCTTTAAAGGAACGTGCGCGGTAAAATGGTAGTGGAGTTGAATAGATTGTGGTTTTGCTAAACTATCATTTTCACAATGACTGCAGAAATTTTTTCGTATAAAGCAGTTTTTCATTTGTGAGGAGGTGGGTTTTTTGCTGTTTTTTTAAGTCGCATCAACTACTACGTCATCAGCGGACCACTACATGATATATGTGTGTGAAGGACGAACACATACAACCATGGCGCCCGAATGTGGGACCGAAACCGGCACCCTTCAGGCCGAGACCGTACGGCGCTATTAGCTCAGGATCTAGGCGATTCCGGACCGCCAGTTGGTGTTTTGTTCTCCAATCAAGTCAATGAAAAGGTTTGTATTTCCCTCCGATTAGTAGATAATAATAGAGATAAAGAATTTTTCAAATGTTCATTATCTTTTTACATAACCCGTACAAATTGATGCAATGCCCAAAACCACTCGTATTCATCTACTGGCGCGAAGATAAATTGCTATATAGACTATTATTATATAATGGATTAAAGGTACTACACTACGCATGCATGCTTTGGCGGCGAAGCGACTCGTCGGAGAGAGGCCTTATATTTTCATTGTAAGAATCGTCGACCAAAAATTTCATCCAATAAAAAACCCTTTAAACAGAGTTAAATAAGAATGTATTTTCCTGCTTTTCTCCTCCGAAAGAAGTACCCCCAGCCTGCGTAAGCCAACTAGCACGTAGAAA